CAGTGACCACCCTATTGTGGTTATCAGGGACATTATGCTGTTTCTTGTATAGTTCTTCTGTGTAATCTTACCACCTCTTCCTAATCTCTTCTGCCTCTGTTAGGTCCCTGCCATTTTGGTCCTTTACCATGCCCTTTGCATGAAATGTTCCCTTCATAACTCCAATTTTCTTGAAGAGATCTCTGGTCATCCTATTCTATTGTTTTCTTCTATTTCTTTGCACTGTTCATTGAAGAAGGCATTCTTATATCTTCTAGCTATTCTCTGGAATTCTGCATTCAATTGGATGTATCTTTCTCTTTCTCTCTTGCCCTTTTGCTTCCCTACTTTCCTAAGCTATTTGTAAAGCTTCCTCAGGCATCCATTTTACTTTCGTGCACTTCTTTTTCTTTGGGATGGTTTTAGTTGCTACTTCTTGGACAATGTTGCGAACCTCCGTCCATAGTTCTTCAGGCACTCTGTCTATCAGATCTAATTCCCTAAATCTATTTGTCACCTCTACTGTATATTCATCAGGGATATGATTTAGGTCATACCTGAGCGGCGTAGTGCTTTTCCCTACTTTCTTCAATTTAAAACTAAATTTTGCAACAAGAAGCTCATGATCTGAGCCACTGTCAGCTCCTGGTCTAGTTTTTACTAACTGTATAGAGCTTTTCCATTGTTGGCTGTGGAGCACATAGTCAATCTGATTTCTGTGTTGACCGTCTGGTGATGTCCATGTGTAGAGTCGTCTCTTGGGCTGTTAGAAAAGAGTGTTTGCTATGACCATCGTATTCTCTTGACAAAATTCTACCAGCCTGTGCCCTGCTTCATTTTGTAATCCAAGGCCAAACTTTTCTGTTATTCTGGATATCTTTTGGCTTCCTACTTTAGCATTCCAATCCCCCATGATGATAAGGACATCATTTTTTGGTGTTAAATCTAGAAGGTGCTCTAGGCCTTCTCAGAACCGGTCAACTTCAGCCTCTTCAGCACCAGTGGTTGGGGCATAGACTCGGACTACTGTGATGTTGAGTGGTTTGCCTTGGATTTGAACTGAGATCATTCTGTCATTTTGGAGATTGTATCCCAGTACTGCTTTTCCTACTCTTTTATTGACTATGAAGGCTACTGCATTTCTTCTGAGGCATTCTTGCCCGCAGTAGTATACCTGATGGTCATCTGAATTAAATTCACTGATTCCTGTCCATTTTAGATCACTGATTCCTAAGATGTTGATGTTCAGTCTTGTCATCTCTTGTTTAATCACATCCAGCTTGTCTTGATTAATTGATCTTACATTCCAGGTTCCTATGGAGTATAGATCTTTGCAGCATCGGACTCTCCTTTCACCACCAGATACATCTGCAACTGACTGTTCTTTTGGGTTTGTCCCAGTTGCTTCATTCTTTCTGGCACTACTAGTACTAGCCCTCTGCTCTTCCCCAGTAGCATATTGGACACATTCTGACCTGAGGGGCTCATCTTCCGGTGCCATATCCTGTTGCCTTTTGGTACTGTCCATGGGGTTTTCATGGCAAAGATACTGGAGTGCATTGTCATTTCCTTCTCCAGTGGATCACCTTTTGTCAGAGCTCTCTGCAATGACCTGTCCGTTCAATGCTGCAAAGATCTATACTCCATAGGAACCTGGAATGTCAGGAACCTAAACAGTACTGACTTGGTCTCAGGACCATATGTTTTGAAAACATTTGCTAAGAAGTAAAAATCCTGCTGCAGTCATCACACTGCGTTTTTGTTGAATCAGTCAAGATAGCTGAGTTGTTTGGACCCTATTTACAAGGTTTTGCAAGCTGTGTCTTTCCATAATGAAATTTAATGCTACTTCAAATTGAGTTTAAAGGACTGGCTTGTACATTATGACAAACCATAATTTAGCTTTATATGCAGGAATAAGAATTAGAGCATGCAAAGTGCTGAACTCTCCTGCATCTTCTCCTATGCTCCTCCCAGCAGGAGGTCTATACTGGCATTGTTTAAAATAAAGTGCAGTTTGCTTTAAGTCAGATATGCATACCCAAGTATAAAAACTGAAGAATCGTCATGTGTTCTCGTAGAAGTGTGAATGTGTCAGTTTAAAATGAATACAGGGAGGGATCTAATCACTAGCATATTTTAAAGTGGTACATGACAAAGAAAAAATGCTCATTCACTATCTGAAATGCATCTGTATTTTGAATTCACATAGTATTATTGGTATTGGGTAGTATTCATCTGTACGCCATAAATCAGTAGCTGTGCAATAGTACTTGCAACAGCCATAGAAAAGTGGGACCCATAAATTTCAGCAGCAAAGTCACCATATTTTTCAATCAGTGACACATCTGCTTTCCATTTCCTTTTCTACTGGGCTAGATATATTGTATTTTGGATTTCAGCAATAAGAACGTCTAATTTTCTATATCCTCCTTTATTCATGCAAAGTAAGATTCATCATCCCTGAAAGCAAGAAAGCAAGTATTGCTTTCCATACTTGCTTCAAAATCATACAAATTGATCACAGACTATAACACAAATCGACCACAAAGAATCTTCCTTATGGAAGCATGAGGATACTTCTAAATAAAGCAAAGTTTGTTCAACTCCTTGCATGCTTTTACTTGAACTGTGTGTTCCACAGCATGTGTTCCATACCTCTCATTACCAAATGCCTGACCCAGCTCTCATTTTATCTCTTATTGAATCTGGTTCTCCCTGTAGGAGAGAGGTTCTCCTCTTATAGTTCTCTTAACTATAAGAAGAGGCATGTAGGATTAGACCAAGGGTCCATCTAGTCCTGCATTCTGTTCATACAGTGGCAAACCATCTCCTCACAGGATCCCACAAGCAGGATATCAGTGTACTAACACTCTCCTGCCCATGTTCCCCAACAACTTGTATACATAGGCACATTCGTGGTAGCATATAACTTTTCAGGATTAGTAGCTACTGATAGTCTTCTTCTCTGTGAATTTTTTTCTGTTCCCTTTTAAGGCCAAATTAGTCACCATCACTGCATCTTAAGGAAGTGAATTCCATAGTTGAACTGTGAGCTATGTAAAGAAGTACTGCCTTTTATCTATTCTGTTTCTCTCACCAATCAACTTCATGTGTACTTCTGCATGATTAAGCCAGGTCGGGGTTCCTGATCTGTCTACTGGTGGGTCTGTCACCAAATGGGCAACTCTGTATCTGTAATAGTCATTCAGCTCCAATGAAACTTTCATACTAATCCCTAACCCACATGCAAGAGGGCGTCTCTTTGGTTAGCACCTCTTCTGCTGAAGAGCATTCACAGCTAGGAGAAGTCTGGGTGAAGTTGACTCCTGAAGAAAGAAATAATAAAAAACAAGGGGATCTCTGATTCTACTGCAGCCTCACCGGGCATTTTTCAGGCAGCTGATTTGCCAAACCTACTTAACATGTAATACTAAGAAATGGGGTGCCTCCATAGCTTACAAGATAGTAAGGCAAGGGTCAGCTGTCATAACTGTGCTCCTGTATGGGCTCCTTACAACCATTTATGGTGATTTGATTCATCAGAGTCCAGAAATGATACATAGCTTTGCCATGGTGCAGTCAGGCACCCCTAATAATTTCATGGAGACTACTTTTGTCACTGCTCAGTAGATTCCACCCCTTCCTATGAACTTCCCACTGGCAGTAGAAACAGTTGAAAGCATTTGACTTCATAAGATAGTTCCCCTTGCTTTGGAGAGCCAAAGACATAAAAGAACTCTTACATAATCTGGAAAATGTGCTGGCACTAGGGATGACATGGCTGTTCCTGCATGGCCCATGGAGATCTTCCTTTCATCTGCAGTGACCTGGCCTCCTGCTAGGGGCAATGCACATTAGACACTGTGAGAACCTATGTCTTTGAAGAGGTCTCGTGCCAAGTACTGACAGTTTGGTGTTGTGTTAGGGAGAAGAGAAATGGAGCACCAACCCCACTAGTCATGTAACTGTCCAACAGACCTCATGCTTAGGGCTTAGATTCCTCTTGCCTGGATTCTCTCCATATCAAAACCAAAGCTTGCCCCTTACGGGAATTTTTTTTAACTAAACATTAAGGCCAGTGACTTCTCCTGTGGCTACTCCAGTGCTCCTTGTGAAGCAGAAGGTGTGAAGAACCCATGCAGCAATTGCAAGGTATTAAATAGCATTGCCACCCATAACAAGTACCTGTTTCTCCTGATTCCAAAACTTTTGCCATGCTTCCATCAATCAGTTGTCTACACCAGGCTGGATCTATAACCTGGTCTGGACATCAGAAAAGGCAGAAGCCTTAAAAAGGGCACAGCCCTGCACGAAATCTTTGGGGGTGATAATACTCAACCCTGAAAGTAATTTGGAACTGGGCCATTCTGTTGCCTCACTGACCAAAATGCTCAGAGTGATATTAATTTGGTGAATGAAATCCAAGAAGCACTCCACAGAGAAAGGGTTCTAGTAATGGCCGGCACTGTTGTCTTGCCAGGACTAAGCTTCTATTTGTTATCCCATTCCAGTTCATAACTGACTTCACTCACCTGTTCAGAATTTTAGCAGTCTCCTGGAATATGCTGCGAATGAGAAATAAAGATGGTGTCATTCCTATATATTCTTAAATTCTGATAGTGTCAATAGTTTATAATTCCATTCTCTAGGCAGCTTTAGTTATATTAACCTCCTGATTAATAGACTTTAAATAAGGGATGCACCAAGAGCAGTTTGGTGGGTTAAATTATAATTTTGTACCAAGAAGAGTAAGTTGGGGAAATCTTTGAATTGATTTTTTCATTTCTGCTATTAACTTATTCAGTCATACATACATATAAATATTAAATAACCTAAGGCTGTAAAATAATCTTTTTAAATATTTATTTTTAAAAGAACAGTTTTTGTCTAAGTACCAAAAATCACTCTTACCACTCACACAGAGCCCGCCACATCTTCTGATGGCCACAGGGCATCAGAATGGACCTTCCTTTTGTTTATTATCCTTGTTAAGTGAGATTGTTACGTGTGTGTTCTAGGTGTTTGACAGAGTCCGAGAAGAGTGGCCCAACTTCCATGAAAAGATTAAACCAATCAGTGCTGAATTCATCCAGCCAAACTTGGCCATCACTGCTGAAGACACTGATGAACTTCTTTCTGAAGTCAACATTATCTTCCACTGTGCTGCAACCATTCGATTTAATGAGCCACTCAAGTACGTTCTTCTTGTCTTGTCTTTCATGTTGGTTGTCCAATAATGCCAAGTCCTAGTCAGGTTTAACTGAAAGTAAGTCTGCTGGGTTCATGAGACTCAGTGTAAGTATAACTAAGTCCTGCGAAGAACATCACTTTAAAAGGAACACCTGAGAAAGCATTGAGTATTTTTCCTCTGGGGAGAACACATGGGGTTCTGTAAATTCATTTACTTGCTTTCCAGGAGCAAATGTTCCTGCCTTTCACACAAAAGGTGTGGTCATGATGGAGAAGCCATAGGGATAACTGATGGGAAAGAAAATTCTGTTATATTAGATGAAAAAGCTTTTGTCCATTTCTTCAAATAGTACTATGTTATATGTATTAATATTGTAAAATCAAACTTCTGACCAACAATTGTTCTGATATAAACCTAAATTTCTGCTTAATAGCTACAGATTAATCTTGGACTCAGCCCCATTGGTTTTCCTCATGCAGCTAAAGACTGCAGAACAGGATTTATCTTCCCTGTCCTCTAATAATGGGGTTTTCCACTAGACTCCTGCTGACTAGGTTAGATGGAAGGATGCGTTCACCTATCTTCACACATCTGTTGTTCTTAAAGATTTCCCTTCCCATTGGTTCAGGTAGCAAACCTAGGCAAGGGGCCTAATTCTGGGGCCCGGAAGGGCCACAGCTGCTCCTGTCCCTGGAACACCACCCATTTTCAGGCTTATTGCCACTTTAGGTCAGTTTATGTCAGTAGATCTTACAATGAGAGCAACTGGAACTTCTGGGGTGGATCTGTCTCCCTCACATGGAGCTCCTTTGTGCTAGGTCATAACACAGCAGGGCCTATGGAATAGACATTCATTTCATTTGAGGTGCTCAGGTTTTGAATCCTACCATGGGGATGGGGTTTTAATAACGAGTTTTCAATAGACAGTGCAGATGTCTAATGCAGGTATCTAGGTGAGGGATGAGTTAAAGCTCCCCTACTATCCGGGCTAGGAACCTGAACCAGATACAGTCACCTGCAGCTACACCAGAATAAAAAATGATGTTGGCTTATTATTTATGTTTGTGAAATAAACCTAGCCAAGCTTCCCCTCAGCAGTGCTAGCAGAGATCCTTTGAAAGGATTTGTACTAGGCATCCTAGTAGAAAATGTGGAGTAGTGATTACAGTGCTTGGCTGGAGCTCTGGAGCTCTGGGTCTTAGTCCCCACTCAGCCACAAAGCTCACTGGGTAACTGGGCCAGTCGCAGGTTCTCAGCCAAACTTACCTTGCAGGGTTGTTGTGAGGATAAAATGGAGAGGCAGGGAGCCTTGTAAGCTGTCTTGGATTCCTTACAAGAGGAGGAAAGGTGAGGCATAAATATGATGACAATGACAACAGCAACCTGGATTGAGTCTGGGCTGCCTGCAAGGTTGTGCTATTTCACAGAGCTGTATTCATTTCCAGCTGATGGAAGGCGGAGCACATTTCTGCCAAAGGAAGATGCCTGTTCACCCATTTCAGGGGCATTAGTCAGATCCACAAGAAGCTTCTTAGGTTTCTTTTCTCCATTCATGCTCTGAATGTCTGAAATAGCTCAGTTAATTCTTACTGGAGCAAGGAGGATTGACCTGTGTACAGCCATCACGGGACCAGGGACGCTGCTTGCCTTCAGCTCCTCCATCTGTGCCGGCGAGTTCTCCGCATGCCCCACCCTTGCTCCTCCTCCCCTGCCCCTGGCATGGGTGGCAGCTGCACCGGATTGGGGGTGGTGTGCAGGGAAGGGGCGCAGGCTTAACTTGCCAGGCGTGGCCAGTGGCCGGTGGCCTAAGGGTGTCGCCATTTGGGGCCATTCAGGGCCATACAGGGCTGGGCTGGGCCAGAAACTCTGTGTTTTTGTAGTGGGGTGGGTTGCGGGGTTTTAAATTGTATTTTTTTATATTTTATTTATTCCATGACTGAGCTTTATTGTTGTTTATGGGGTTGCCTGGGGAGCATGTGGGCACCTCCATTGGAGTGGTGTTGAGCTGGGGAAGATATGGCGCTGGGAGATTAACATGTCATCATAGAAGAAGGAGGAACAGATGGTTGGTATCTGTCCCCTCTTCTGGTTATTCCCCCAACCGGAAGGTTCCAGGTAAGTTTATCAATCGCCCCTCGGGCCTGACTGTGCTGCTGCTAAATGCCAGGTCGGTCCATAATAAAACATCCCTCATCCATGATCTAATTGTGGATGAGGGGGCTGACCTGGCTTGCATTACAGAGACCTGGGCGGGAGAGGGCAGGGTTGTAGCCCTCTCTCAGCTGTGCCCATCTGGGTATCTAATCCAGCACCAGTCACGCCCTGACGGGAGGGGAGGGGGGTCACTGGTTCATCAAGCTGCAATTTCCCTCATGGGGCTTCCTGTCCCCTCAAGACCCGGCCTAGAGTGCTTATACCTGACGGTGGGCGACCAAGACAAATTAGGGATCCTGCTGGTGTACTGTGCACCCTTCTGCCCATCAGACTTTCTGTCTGAGCTGATGGAGATCATCTCGGACCTGGTATTGAAGATCCCCAGGATGTTGGCCCTGGGAGACTTCAATCTCCATGCTGAGACTGTTTTGACTGGGGCGGCTCAGGACTTCATGGCTTCCATGATGACCATGGGGCTGTCTCAACATGTCATTGGCCCAACCCATGAACGAGGTCACACTCTGGACCCGGTTTTCTCAACGGGACTGGAAGAGGGTGATTTGGAGGTGAGAAATTTGCGTCTGACTCCTTTGTCATGGTCAGATCACTTCCTCGTGTGGTTTGAACTTGGAGCTGGCTTATCCCTCTGTAAGGGTGCAGACCCTATTATGATGGTCTGCCCTTGGAGCCGGATGGATCTGGATGGATCCCTGAGGGCTCTGGGGGATTTTCTGGTTGATAAAGCTGGCGCTCCTGTTGATGCTCTCGTTGAGCTGTGGAATGGGGAAATGGCCAGAGCTATTGACACGATCGCCCCTAAGTGTCCTCTCCTGCCAGGCAGAGCCCGTTCATCTCCATGGTGTACATCTGAATTACAGGCAATGAAGCAGGTTGGGAGACCACTAGAGCGCAGGTGGAGGAAATCACAGGATGAATCTGACTGAACACACTTATGTGCTCACTATTGAGCCTACGCTGTGGCAGTGAGGGCAGCAAAGAAATTCTTCTCCACTTCCATTGCCTCCTCTCAGTGCCATCCAGCAGAGCTTTTTCGAGTGGTACATGGGCTAATACATCCAGGCCCCAAAAAAGATCTTGTGCCACCATCGACTGTCCGCTATGATGACTTTGCCCAGCACTTCAAGGAGAAAATCGCTCAGATTCATCACGAGCTGGACTCCACAGTTGATACGGTTCCTTTAGGGGAGGCACCAAGAACTCTGTCTGATCTAGCATTATTGGATGAATTTCATTTAATGAGGCCTAAGGATGTGGACAAGGTACTTGGACAAGTACGTCCTACCACCTGCTTACTTGACCCTTGCCCTTCATGGCTACTTACTAAAGCCAAACACAGGATTGGTTCCTGGGTTCAAGAGGTTATTAACACCTCACTGAGGGAGGGCCGGGTGTCCGCTTCTTTAAAGGAGGCAGTAATCAGGCCTGTCCTAAAGAAGGCGTATCTGGATTCAGAGATGGCCTCCAGTTACAGACTGGTGGCCAACATCCCATTTGTGGGCAAGGTGTTGGAACAAGTGATGGCAGGACTACTCCAAGTACTCTTGGATGAAACTGATTATCTGGACCCATTTCAATCTGGTTTCAGACCCGGTTACGGTGCTGAATCTGCCTTGGTCGCCCTGTATGATGACCTGTGCAGGGAGAGGAACAGGGGGAGTGTGTCCCTGTTGGTTCTCCTGGACCTCCCAGTGGCTTTCGATACCATTGACCATGGTATCCTTCTGGACAGGCTGGTGGGATGGGGAGTAGGAGGCACTGCTTGGCTGTGGTTCCGCTTCTACCTTGCCGGCCGATTCCAGAAGGTGGTGCTGGGGGACTTTGGCTCTGTGCCATGGCAACTCTGCCATGAAGTACCGCAGGATTCCATTTTGTCCCCCCTGCTATTCAACATTTATTTATTTATTTATTTATTTATTTATTTATTTATTAAAACATTTCTATGCCGCCCCATTCGCCAAAGCCTCGGGGCGGCTCACAACATAAAGTGTAAAGTCTATGTCCTTTTTTTGAGTCTCTTTAGCACAGTCTCAAGAAGAAAACGTTTGGGTTGCTGAAATCAATCCAACCAATGCAAAAATGCACACAAAAGAAATCCTTTGTTGAACTGGTGTTGCACAATCCTGTTGCTTGCCTAGGCTAAAGAGAAATGTGCTTTCTGCTGGACAATGAGAACTGTTTTACACAATTTCTTATTAAAGAGATGATATTCTCCCACATAGATACAAAATGCACCAACCCATTGTTAACACAAACAAACATTTAGATGAACATATGAGTGCTTATGTTCATGGAAAGAAGTTTTGAGAACTTGCACATGAAACCACTGGGAGAGGTCATCAGGAGGTTTGGGCTGTGGAGTCATTAGTATGCTGCTGACACCCAGCTCTACCTCTCTTTTTCAACTAACCCAGGTGAGGCAGTGGCTGTCCTGAACCGGTGCCTGGCCGAGGTAATGGGTGGATGAGCACCAATAAACTGAAGCTCAGTTCAGATAAGACGGATATCCTGTTGGTTGGTGATTCGAACTTCCGAGTAAGTGACTTGGGCTCTGTCCTGGACAGGGTTGCACTACCTCTAAAGGACAGCGTCCTCAGCTTAGGAGTGTTCCTCGACCCGGAGCTGTCTTTGGAAGCCCAGGTGATGGCAGTGGCGAGGAGCGCTTTCCTTCAGCTTCAGCTGATCCATCAGCTGCGTCCTTACCTGGAAGAGAACTGCCTAGCAACAGTGACACACGCACTGGTTACTTCCCGCTTGGATTACTGTAACGTGCTCTATGTGGGGCTGCCCTTGAAGACAGTCCAGATACTTCAGATGGTGCAAAATAGAGCTGCCAGGATGCTGTCCGGGACTGGTTGTTATTCTCATATAACTCCAGTCCTCTATCAGCTCCAGTGGCTTCCCATCGAAGGCCGGGCTCAATTCAAGGTGCTGGTTATTACCTATAAAGCCCTAAATGGCTTGAGACCAGGATACCTAAAGAAACACCTTTTTCCCTACATGCCCTCCTGCCCCCTAAGATTAGCAACAGAGGCCCTCCTCCAGGAACCCTCTTTGAAAGAGGTCAGGAGACAGAAACCTTCTCTGTGGTGGCGCCCTGACTATGGAATGTGCTCCCTAGAGAGGTCGGCCTGACGCCGTCATTATATGTTTTTCGGCGCCAGGTCAAGACCTTTTTATTTGGCGAATATTTTAACATATAGTATTTTTAATGTGTAAGACTTATTTAATTTATTTTAAATAATGCTCAGTGTGGAATAGTTAACTTATTTTATTGAAGATTGAAATAATGTTGTAAGCTGTCCAGAGATGACAGTAATGGATGGCTTACAATTTTTTTAAATACATACATACATACATACATACATACATACATAAAATGAAATTCATATCTGCTGAACCCCTTCATGAGTTTTTCATGTCTTCTTGCCTAGGCATGCCCTTTTGCTAAATGTCAAAGGCACCCAGCAGCTCCTGCTGCTAGCCCACCGGATGCAGAAGCTTGAAGCCTTCGTTCACGTTTCAACAGCCTATGCAAACTGTAATCGGAAATACATAGAAGAAGTAATCTATCCTCCTCCTGTGGAGCCCAATAAACTTTTTGACCTTGTAGAGTAAGTGATGGAAATAGTCTTTCATTCTGTTGCTGTTATAAGCATGACTTTAGGTAAAAGTGCCAGTCAGTGTTTCTTCATACATTTCCTGCCAAATGGAAGCTACTTTGATAGTATAGTCCTGTGTACCTGGAATATATAACCTGAACAACTTGGACAGGGTCAATGATGCTGATCTTTGCATTCCTACTCTCTTTCCCTTGCCTGATAAAATGGTGATAAGAGGGTGGGGTGGGGGGAAGCCTTCACATGCAATTTCCATTATTTTTGGTACACAAATGAATTTCCAATTGACTTAAAGTGAAGGGATATTTAAAAACTTTGTGGGGAGGATTTCTTCTGATGTCAATAAACAGATTTTTGCCAAGCCCCCGAGCTAGGCAATGTCGTAAATAAGGCAGCTTCTGAAATGCACAAAATGAGCTACCACTCAATAGCTTGGGAACCACAGCATGAATTGCTTTTGAATTCCCGAGCAAGAGACAGAGATAATTTTTCTACAGCTAATGTTTGCCATACGTAGAAACCATACGGCCTGATAGCTGTTATCTCTAGATGAGCTTTTTTTTTTTTGGGGGGGGGCGTGTTGATTAAACTGTATTGCCTGGTTATAAATAAATGAACATAGTACTGTTAATCAAACAAATCAGATAGACTATCATAATTGTACTTTAATTTCATTCAAACTAAATCAAACCATATGTTAATGGGACTTACAACATGAGATAGCAATCTCTTTATAAATGGATGTATAAAATGATAATAGCCTGAGCAGACTGAGACCATGGATCTCCTGGAAGACCAGCCTGCTCAAGAAGCCCAGCCCAGGATCAGGCATGGCCAGAGGGCCACTGCAAGAAAGGCAACTGCTGAGACATGGCCCCTATCTCCACTGGGTGAGGAAGAAGGCAGGTAATCATCATCGGGGACTCCTTACTAAGGGGCAGTGTGCCAGCTGGATCTTGAGGTGAGGGAAGTCTGCTGGGCACATGCATCTGATGTGTGGCAGACATGCTGGCATGTCTTCTTCCCCTGGGGGGTGTCATCAGCCACTTCTGGTGATCCATATGGGGATAAATGACATAGCCAGGCAGGGTCTAGGTAGGATCACTCAGGACTTCAAGGCTTTGAGCAAGAGACTCAAGCACTGAAGGTTCAGGTAGTCTTTCCTCACTCTTGCCAGTCCACAGACATAGACCAACCAGGGAGATGAGGGTTGTGGAGACAAATAACTGGCTGAGGGCATGGTGTCAGCTCCTTCTTTTCTTGATTTTTGCTTTGAAATATATATTTGTGTTTATTAAATATAAAACACAGGGAGGCAGGCAGGCATGCTGCAAAGTGAACTGTCCATTTTTCCACACCATTCAGCACCTGTATTTCCAAGAATGTTTCTGGCTCCACATTTTTGACAATAAGTATTGGAACAGAGACTGCTGGTTCAGAAGAATGCGTTAATATCATAGAGCTCAGTTCCCACCTCTACCTTTTGCATTAGTTTTTAAGGCAAGATGCTTTTCTTTAATTATTTTCTAGCTTGCCTCCCTTAAATATCCAAAATATTGTCACCAGTTATGACCACATGCCAGCAATTTGTGAATGAGCAAGTCCCCACAAGACAGGCATTTTATGAGAGGGCCCATGAGACTTTCTAAACATTCCAGATCTGCCTCCTGATGTAAAGGACTGGAGACCCTTGCCTTAAGATCATGAGATTGCCTGAAGGAGAGGAACACTCTGGAAATGTAGGGTCATGAAGGTAGAAAAGTTTTTGAGAAGAAACTAGAGTTGAATCCAGAACTGAATGCACTTTGGTGCCATCCATATCAATGTGTAAAATTATTAGTGACTAATGCCTACCCCATTGACTTCAGTGGGGCCCAGGCGTTACTTGTTCCAGATGCAAACCAGGGTCTTTTTAGTACTGACACTGTCTTGAAGCCACCCTAATATACAAACCTGGAAAATTCCTTCCTTTTGCAGAAATCTTTGGGGAATTGCCTGAAATTAGCTCATCTCCTCCAGGGAGTCTTTTATACATGTACTCAGAAGTAGTGGGGCTTATTTCCAGCTTCAGTGCCTTTCATCATTCCTCCAGTGTTAGATAATTGAAGTACGGGATGGCAGAAGCAGGGGCTGGTTTTGGAGCCAGTGCTGTTCCATAGCTATCTGCCACCAAAATGGCCAACTCTGTACATCTTCTTTCTTGGAACAAGGCAAGATAAACCCGAGCATTGCACAGAACTGTCCATAGCACAGTGCTGCTGAAGGGACAATGCGTGCCTTCTCCACCCAAGCTACAGCTGAAAACTGGGGTTCTTTTCCCATCCTCCACATAGGTAAATGGTATATATGTTGCTATATCAGGAGGAAATGTGGTCCCTTGCTGAAAGAAGATTTATTCCATAAGCAGTGGCTCTCTTTCTTGCTCTAAAAATGCAGGGTAATTTAATTCTGTTGGATGGAGAGTTTGTTACCAATTAAAAGATGTTTGTTATTATTTCATCTTTCTCTCCTTCATTGATTTCCTGTAGCAAGAAAAAGGGAGGAAGGGCTACATGAGAGGGCTACTGATGGAAAATGATGACAGGTGGAATATCGATGGGAGGAGAAATTTGTTCATTTGCATTTTAATGCACACTTACTTGATTTTGCTCTTTTGAACCACTATATGAACCAAAATCCAGTTATTCCATGAAATTCACAATTCTTCATTTTTTTCATGCCAATCAGAAATGCATACAAATATACAAATGTATACCTGGACAAATGATCTTTAAAATGCATTTTATTAGGGAAAATGCTTACAAAATTTTGTGTATTAGACAAAAGCATACAAAAATGCATTTTTCATTTGACTAGTTCCCAAAGTTTGGAGAGAACTGAAGTTAAGACTGGAGAAATGCTCAGAGTTCAAGACAATTCAAATATAAGTTTAAGGGAAAAAATAAAAAACAAAGATGCCAAAATTAACTGATTTGTCCATTACTAATTGGAACAAAAACACCTGAAAATCCAACAAATGAGACTAGTGTATTATATAATGCAAGCCTCACCCAGAAGTATCCTCAGAAAAAGCTTCCTAAATAGTATTTTACACTTAACACACTGAATGAGCCCTGGAGTCACTTTGATCTGCCATCCTTCTACCTTGCCTGCACTATGCTGTTCAAGGATATCCTATACCTTCTGCCAAGCCATGTTGGGTCATGCCAACTTTGTCCTGCACTGGTCTTTCTTACCTCAATGTGCCCGCCAAAGCCAATTAGGCCTCAGCTTTGGATTAAGAAAAGTCTTTTCGGATATGGCAGATTACCTATTTCCTTGACTGTTCTGAAGGACCTTAGATGTGCAACTTCTAACTTGAAGATATTCCAGATGATGTTTCAATAACCAAGGGAAATAACAGCAAGGGCAGGGGGAATGATTGTTTAAAAAAATCTATGCACATCATGAACTATGAATGCAAGACAGCCACAATAAATAAAACTAAAAAATAGCTTCATTTTATTTATTTATTATTTATTTAGGAAGCTTCTATGCCACCCCATTCGACGAAGCCTCAGGGCAGCTCACAATAAATAATCACAATATAAAAACAATATAATTTGAGACGACCTGGCCAGAGATATAAAATAAATAATATTAACAATTAAAATGACGTTTAAATAAAAAGTTCTTCACCTGGTGCCAAAAAACAAATAACGAGCTTTCTTGTAGAAAAGCTTTCTTTCAAAGCTTTCTTGTAGAAAAGAAAATTTCAAGTCACAATTTGTGTTTTCCATAATTTCTATCGTTTTCTTCCTGCAGAAGATTGGTAAAGAGTGGAAAGAGCACTAAGGCAGTGCCAATTCTTTGTAGCTGTAAACAGAAAAAGGAGGCAAATGAGACACAACCAGACTTGTTCCTAAGGAAGGTTGATAATGTGTTGAGCTGTTTCTCCTTTCCTGATTGCTAAAGTTGCATTTTCAAATTGCAGAGATATTTCATATCCTGAAGGGTTAATATTCCAAAGAGCTTTTGCCTCCTCTTGCTTTTTTCTTCTAACTTTTCTCTTTACAAAACATGTCAACACAAGTAATGTGTGTCACTTAAAGCAGATTCCACTTCTGCCTCTCTCTCAACAACCCCATCATTTTGCCTCCTCAAACTTCGCTCTCTTGGAATATAAGAGTTGACCTAACTACTACTAACCACTGCAATTATCTACTTAATTAGGGGATTCTACAATGTCATTTCCTTTTTTTTTTTTTTTTGAAGTGCTGCTGTTTTGTGCTAATCAGAGGAGATGGATGCTGAGGCATTCTGCTAAAACTGCAAAGTGCAAATGAGTGCTGTTTCCAGCCACAGAAAAATTTTCCAAACGATCCAGTGTTCCCTGGAATGGTAGCCTGGCAACAGGATTGCTCCTTGCAAAAGTTAACCAAATTACTTACCTCTGCAGCATACATGCATGTTCTGGCTGCAAGCAATCCTCTGGTTGCAAGGTTTCTTTCTTTCTTTCTTTCTTTCTTTCTTTCTTTCTTTCTTTCTTTCTGAGAGTGTGAGGCTAAAAGAGAGTGGAGAAATACTGTACTGCAAGGGGCTTCAGAGCTTTGCTGCTGGAAGGTGATTGTAGCATTTGATATGGGTAGCAGAATTCTCCCAATTTACAGAGAAAAGAGATTGGATGATTAGCCCTTCAGAGACACAATTATTCTGAATTTTGCTGCAAGTGTTTCAGGAAGGAGATTATGGGGTAGGTAAGGGAAGAAAGCAACACTGCTTACTTGGCTGTGTCCTATACACTGATGGAACATATCAAGATGCAAACATCAAAAAGGTGCTAGGATCCCTGATGAATAACTGATCAATTGCAATTCCACTTGCAACTGACCAGCAAACAAAGATTATTTTATAACACAAGAATACTGATGCCTGGAAGCACCTATAGTTACAGGGTAAGTTTTAATTTCTGTTTGTGAAGCAGACCTTGTCATGGTGGGGTTTTCCAGGTGCAAAAGGAAAAGGACCCCTTCTTCCACTGAAGAAGGAATTTCAGTTGCTGGAGCTTGTCATGCCAGGGTAAGCAAATCTGCACCTGTTAAATCCCCCTCTTCTACACTAAATATTGAAAGGACAGGAGCATCGATCTTTTTCTGTTCCCCCAGACAGTTTGCTAATATAAATCTATGCCAAGTTGTATAGAAATTTAGTTTTCTTCAAAGGAACCCAGACATTTCCACAGGGATAAAAACATGTGTGACTTAATTTGCAATGGAAAGTATTGAAGTATTATCCATGTGTTTTGCCAAAACATCCATGTGTTTTTATTGTTTCTCTTTCTTTCTTTCCTTCTTCTGTTATTATGTATACATTTCAATGGGATTTTTTTTAAAAAATTCTTTTTAGGTGGATGGATGATTCCCTCCTTGATCAGATCACACCAAAACTGATTCAGGACTGGCCCAATACATATACATTCACCAAAGCCTTGACAGAGTTCCTGATTCAGCAAGAGAGAGGTAACTTAAATGTTGCCATCATTCGACCATCCATCGTGGGAGCCAGCTGGCAAGACCCTTTCCCTGTAAGCATGATTGTTCTTCATTTCTACTGAGCACTCTGAAAGATCTTTTTGCACCTGTTGTTTTGCTTCTGCATTTGTCTGGCATGAAATATTTGCTAGAAATACTAATGGCAGTGCATGTCCTAGACTATCATGATCCTAGCAACAAGGAAACAAAGGAACACAATGGAAAATGTCTTTTATCTATCTTACATTGACATTAAGGACTGCTAGGGAGAAGTATCTCCTGGGATTTCTCACACTTTTTATTACTTTTTGCATTCATTATAAAATTGCTAGCTTACTATACTTTTTAAAGGTTCTATTGACAGACCTACAATCAGTATACATCCCTTAAAGAGGATTTAAGGCTGAAGGCATGAGGTCTTCTCTAGAACACTGGAAGCAGTTTGAAGGTCATTTCACTTTTATGCTTTGCAAAACCTATTTTGCCAGCAATAACAGTGGGATGCCACACATGTGCATGCTATGATGAGGCAAAGTGACTCCCAAGCATTTTCAATACTCTTTAAAACAATTGTCTGTCTCCAGGATCATGTCAGTGTACACTTAATATGTGAAAGTGCATACAAGTGTATCTATCAGAGAAACATACCTGCTGAAGCATGAAGTGGCCCATGAGCACCTAGTTAAACAAACAGAGTTCTAAGTTTCATTAACATTTTCTGAAATCCGAATTGCACTGTTACACCACAGAGGTTAATTCCAGTGAAACAGGAAATGATAAAAGTTCTAATTATAATCACGTAAGAAAATCTTTTAAAAGAAGTATAAAAACATGAATTACTGATATATATCAGATATCATTCTGAGATAATTTAATGGGTTCATCCATGATTGTGACTCTTGTAGTACATTCTTCTCAAAGTATTTTTTCTACTTAGGCTAATTCATAGCTAGAAATGTTTTCTCCAAACTACAAGATCCAGTGTAGAAAGGGCACAGCTTTATTTGTATCCCAAGCTTTCAAAATATCTGGTTCAGCAGTTATCTTCGCTATCCTATTTCTGTGCCTTACCCACAGAGAAAAAATGGATCGGAGAGAAGCCCTGACTTTGCTACTTTGGCATTACCAGGTGATACTTTACTTTTAAAATAGAAATGGTAAGGGACCCTATAAAAGCCATGGCATTCTGAGGGGGAGGCAGTGTTTCCCTCCCAAGTTGTGATTTGGCACAAACAAGAAGCTGTCTTTGGATCCAGTAGCTGCTTGCAGCTCTATAAGGCAGGTTTAGTTGGAGGAACTTTTGTGAAGATCATGGTGCTGTTGAGGAAGGGCCCTTCCTCTTGCCTGCATGTCATGGTCCTGATTCTGATATCTGCTACAAGTGACTGCCATTTTAAAAGTAAAAATCAATTGCACAGTGTCAATGTCTGGTTTCAGATTTCAGTGAAGACTGTGCCTCACACTGCTGGGAAGCAGCAGCAAACTAACAATTTCCTTTCGGAAAATTACAAAATTCACAGATTAAATCAAAAGGAGCATGCATCACCAGCCTGTTCAGAATCAATGACCATTATTTTACCATCTCAGGCCTTCATGAATAAGCCTGTACTGCATTTCTATGCAAATATAGACAAGCTGGAAATGTTGGTATTGGTTGCACAATCCAACATTTTCAGCTTTCTTTTAAAAACCAAGCAAAACACATGGTAGCAAACACTTACTTTAAAATGCATGGACAATGCTGAAGGAAATCTCCAAAGCCAGATTTTGTAGTGTCAGAGAAGAGGGCTTTAGTACCTAGCATAGTACTGTCATGCAGTGATTCCTGGGACTAAGGAGACCCAGGTTCTAGCCCCCATTTTGCCATAAGGCCCGATGAGTGATTTTGGACCAATCATTCTCAGTCTAATCACCTCTCAGGATAGTTGTGAGGAGGTTACAATTTCCAAAGGAAACATAGAATCATAGAATAGTAGAGTTGGAAGGGGCCATCAGGCCATCAAGTCCAACCCCCTACTCAGTGCAGGACAAACCATTCCTCTCAGGTGGCTGTCCAGTTGTATCCTGAATGTCTCCAGTTTGGGAGATCCCACAATCTCCCTTGATAATTGGTTCCCCTGGCTTTCTCTAACTTGACCCTGTTATTCCATGTCCTGCATTCTGGGATGATGGAGGAGAACCTGTCCTCCTCCTTTGTGACAGTCTTTCAAGTACTTGTAGAGTGCTATCATTTCTCCCCTCAAGGCTTCTCTTCTCAAGGCTAAGCATGCCCAATTCTTTCAATCTGTCCTCATCGGGCTTTGTTTCCAGTTCCTGGATCATCCTTGTTGCCCTCCTCTAAACCCTTTCCAGCTTGTCTGCAACTTTCTTAAACTGAACTAGACTCAGTACTCCAGAGGCTGATAAAGGGGGATTAGTACTTCACAAGATTCGGAAGTGATACTTCTATTAATGCAGCCTAAAATAGCACTTCCCCCTTTTGCAGCCATAGCACATTATTGACTCATATGCAGCAGTAAGTATTCAGCAATGATCTACAATTCCAAGATCTTTCTCTCTTGCAGTATTCCTGAGCCAAGTATTCTCCATCTTCTAGTGATGCATTTGGTTTCTTTTTCCTAGGTACAGAACTTGACATTTGTCCCTGTTAAATTTCATTCTGTTGTTTTCAGTCCAGGGCTCCAACCTATCAAGATCATGTTGCAACTTCTTGCTGTCTTCCTTGATATTAGCTACATCACCCAATTTTGTGCCATCTGCATATTTGATAAGTGTTTCCTGCATCTCCTAATCCAAATGATTAATAAAAATGTTGAAGAGCACTGGCCCCAGGACTGAACCCTGTGGTGCCCCACTTGTTGCCTTTTTCCAGTTTGTGAAGGTGCCATTGTTAAGCACTCTTAGAGTTCAGTTCTGAAGCCAACTGTGGATTCACCTGATAGTTGTTCCATCTAGCCCACGTATAGCTTGTTTGCTAATCAGGATATCATGGGGCACTTTGTCAAAAGCTTTGCTGAAGTCATGGTAGAGTATGTCCCCAGCATTCCCACAGTCCATCAGGGAGGTTATCCAATAAAAAAAGAAATCAGATTAGTCTGGCAGTATTTGTTCTTTAAGAATCTATTTTGGCTTTTAGTAATCATTGCATTGCTTTCAAGTAGTTTGTAGCCTGACTACTGTATAATCTGCTCCAGAGTTTTCCCTAGAATTTTCCCAGAATCCAAATATCTCTGTTGGCACGATCTTTATAAGCAGGCATTCATTTGAGAATTTTTCTTTCCCTGTCTATTCCTTTTCCAAGAACCAGAAGGACTGAAGAGAAAAATATCTGGGCCCCAAGTCCTTGACTTTCCTCCCTAAAGCTTCAAAGCCTGATGTGATTTCTTCAAAGCTCTGCATAGCAGTGTCTTCCCCACTACCCCCCACCCCATATATAAGAAGGAAGGCATACGTCTAGTGGGCTGTCTGAGCTTTGGCAGTCTTTCAGTTGTATCACTGTCATCCAGGGAGACAGGATACCTGATGAGCCCACAGGTTTTCCTCACATATATGTGTTTACATCCCACACAACAAGGAGTCTCCCACAACTAACACTCTTCTCTTCTTGGTGTTCCAAGCCTTGGTATGATTGCCAATACTTAGTTGACCTTAAGCCACTTGTTCAGTGTTGCATGGGATGACTTGCAGTTTTTCCAGTGCAGACTGCCCTCCAGTCCCATCCTTGAATAACTGAAAACAGTTTGTGGTACCACTGCTTCCACTGGTGCAGCGTGTCTTCTAATTTTTCCTGTTACTCTTTTCCTGGAAGTTTCCTCCTCATTTCCCCTTTCATCAGGATGTTTCTCTTCTGCCTCAGCTTGCTGTTGCCCTTCTAGCTTCTGTACTACTCTTAGTTCTACCACTCTGTCTAAAAATCCTTCATCATCTTTTATTGCTTTGAGGGTGAACACTCACTGCTCTAGTGCTCTCATCTTTTCTTCTAACAGGGCTTGTATTTGTTGCACATGTAGGTCATGTTGCCTCAAGCAAGAAAACAAACATTGCACAGACATTGCACATCACCACCACTGGGAATTCTTCTCAGTCCATTCTTCCTGTCACCTTTTTGATTCTAGTTTGCTGGGTGTGTTCTAACAACCAGTGCTTTCTCCTGTCTTTCCCTGAAGGTTAACAACACAGTCCTACCAGTAAATGAGAGTGTGTTACAAAAGAGGAGAGGGCTTGAAGGAATGCTTTCCAGGGATCTTGTTAGACCAGGGATCAGCAACACCTTGCTGCAGGCATGCCTGCACCATGCAAGAGTGTCTGATGAACCTGCCAGGGCCCTTGCATCCATCTGTACTCCATTCTGTCCACTCACTTGCAAAGTGCACCAACGTCTTGCTTTTGTATAATGAGCAGGAGAACGGGACATATGAGTGATGGCTCTGCCCAGTCATGACCAGTTGTGCACTGGGGTCAGGAGAGAAAGTGGCTGCCTGCAAGGTGTGATCACTTGCTACTTGCTCTGAAGAAAGGGCAGGAGAGAGTGATGGTCACATGGGGGAAAGCAGGAGTGAGAAAGTTGTGAGAGCTGTTGACCTGTGGAGCAGAGCTTTGGTTAGGAAGGGCTGGGCAAAGCCTGTCAGGGAATTTCATTGAGTCAGAAATTCAGCAGCTGCTGCCTGATGATACAGTTTTCCTAGTGTTGCAATTTCTGTCTTGGTCTTTAGTCCCCTCAGGATCTGTGATGCCTCCAGTATCACACATTGGGAGAGCTTTGACACTCCTGGGAGGAAAAAGGAATTACCACTGCCTTGGCTGGGCTTGTCTCCTGTCCCGCATCCCATCCCCTCCCCCAGTGCCATAGGGCTTGAAAAAGAGAAATGGAAGAAGTGAAAACGAGTGGGGAGAAAAGAAATAAGGAAAAGTGTGTGGAGAGACAGGAGGAGAAAAGCCAGAATCTATCCATTTTTTGTATTATTTTTCCAACTGTGTTTAGCCAGATGCACAAGAGAGATGCACAAGCAGGCCTATCCTTGCTGTCTGTCTGAGAAATTACTGATACTTGAGAGTTTAAATCCCAAGATTGAAATAAAAATCTGAAGCTTTCACATGTATTCTTACACTTGGCTTTGAACAACATTCAACACCGCAATCATACATAGAAGTCCAACAGTGCATTATTTGTGTTTGTTTATGCATGCATTTATCTCAATATTTATATACTAGTCCAGTTTCATAGGCTCCAGGTGGTTTACAAGAAATTAAAACTAACAGTGAGTAATATTGACTAAAACAACATATTGAATAATATTGACTAACAACAACATATTGATATGAGAGCTAATTGGGGAAGAGATGTTTTAGCTCCCTCTTAAAGGTGGGAATTTGGGAAATCAGATGCATCTTTCCTGACAGACTGTTCTACAGCTTGGGGCAACCACTGAAAATGTCCTCTGGGTAGCTGACATTAATCTTACAGAAGTAGACTCCAGAAGATTATCTTCAGAGGAGCTGGTGAGACAGAATGTAGGGGAAAGGTGCTTCTGAAGGTAATTTGGAACTGAGCCATGGAGGGCTTTAAAGGTAATTACCAACACCTTGTACTGGATCCAGAAACATGTTGGAAACCAGTGCAATGACATTAAAATAGGTGATAGGTGGACTCGCCATGATCTCCCAGAAATATGACTGCCGTATTTTGCACTGGTTGCAGTTTCTAGTGTAGGCACAAGGAGTGTCCTATGTAGGGTGCATTGCATAAATCAAGCCTAGAAGTTACCAGTGTGTGCACTACTATTTTCAAGCCATTCTGCTCCATGAAGGAACACAGTTGGTAAATCAGATGAAGCTGACAGCAGACACTCTTATTTACTTATTTGATTTCTAGCACAACCTATTAGCCACAGGGCTCCCTGGGCTTGTTACAACAAAACCATAGATACAATATAAAAACAAGAATTACAAATTACAATGAAACATTTAAACCAATATAAAACATGTCACTGACAGAACACTCTTGACCAGCTTCTATCTAAGCTGACATCTGAAGGGCCAGGTCAAGTAGCAGCCCCTAACTGCAAACATGGTCTTTCAGGGAGAGTGTGGCCCCATCTAGAACTGGTTGACACACCAAATCCTGAATTTGGAGCCTTAACACCAATGTCTGGATTCAACTTCAATGTGTTTTTTTTCTCATCCAACTCACTACTGGCTTCAGGCAGTCATTCCATGGGAAGACATTGTCTATAGAAGAAGAAGCAGATGGTGGTAAGAAGTAGATCTGGGTGTCATCAGCATACTGATAACGTCCAGCATCACTTCCCCAGGTGATCTCCCCCAGTGTCTTCATGTAGATGTTAAACAGCACTGGGGGCAGAATGGAGCCCTGTGGGACTCCACAAATCAGCTCTTTTTTAGAAGAGCAGCAGTCTCCAAGCATAGCCATCTGGAACTGACCCAAGAGGTAGGAAGAGAACCACTGCAAAGCAGTGCTTCCAATCCCCAACTTCCTCTGATGATTCAGAAAGATACTATGGTTGATAGTATTGAAGGCCTCTGAGAGATCCAACAGTACCAACAGGGACACACTCTCCTTGACCTTACAAAGGAATGGTATGCATGAGACTAAAGTTGTTAAGGTTCGGGGGTTCAAGTTAGATTTCTTGAGGAGGGGCTATACAAAAGCCTGCTTCAGGCAGGCAAGAACCCTACCCTCTCTCAAAGAGGCATTGATGATAAAACGTAACAGTTCCCTCAGTGCTTCTACCCCCTGAACTACTAGCCAAGATGAACATAGATTGAGAGAACAGATGGTTTTTCTCACTAGTCCAAGCAGCCTGTCAGTATCAACAAGACTAACAAATGAAAATTGATCCAGGATAAACCCATTCACAAAGTTGTTGGACATGTCTGTGCTATCTCCACCTCCACAATCACATCAAGTTCACTGTTATCTGAGGAAAGTTATCTGCAAAATGGTTGTTAAAAGCATCAAGAGTAAGCAACTAAAGGGCTAAAGATAGGGGAAGAGGCATTGGGGCTTGAGACAAATCCCTTACCCCACTAAACAGCTCTGCTGGGTATGAATTTGCAGATTCAAGCAGAGAAGAAACCCCTTTTTGCTGCTCATATTGCCACCCTATAGGAGCAAAGATTCTTTCTATAAAGCATTTTGTCAGAGATGAGTCTAGTCTGCCTCATAAGTTGGAGTTCCTCTGTATACCAGGGAGCTCTTTTGGAAGCAGAAGTGAGGATCCTCAGGAGCAACCTGTTTAAAGCCCCAGTCAACTCCTGATTCTGTTTTGTGACTAGGGACATGACAGGACTAATGGTAGTACTGGCCAAAGAACTCCGTAGGGCTGACTGGATGTTTTAAAACAATCTCAGAATCTTTCTGGTTCATCAGCAATTATGGCACATTAAAGGTACTTTTCAAACTTTGCCTCTAATCTTGAGTTTCTGAGGCAACAAGTCATTTGCAGACTGAAATAAGCAGTACATAATCAAACCTCCCCTACTCACAATTGCTTTCCTTTTTTTCTTCAGGGCTGGATTGATACCTTCAATGGAACAAGCGGTTTCTTTATTGCGGTATGTGTTATTAGGCATGCCAGGTCTCTTGATGCTCTGAAGCTAGGTGCAAAATGAGGGGCATAAGAACAGAACACAGCTGATGGGACAACTAGGTCAGAGCTAGGGTCAGGGAAGGGTGCGGCCTACTTCAGGGGCAGAGCCATCAATGTCATGTGATTACAAGGCTTCTCATAAGGTAAAGTGTTTGTAATGTGTTTTGTGATGTGTTTTGGGTTTGCTCTTTTTGAAAGCTGTCTACAGTGAGATTATTCAACTAGAAGTGGATAGTTATCTGGAACACATCTCCAATGAACTCAGAAAATATCCAAGATCTTTCACAAAAAATCAGAAAGCCTTGCATAGTTTTTCCCCAGAGTAGCCCAAGGACTTTGTAAAAACTAGCTTCTCCCATATCTGGTGCCACCCTGAAGACCAGCTCCATATTGCAAGATACTCTTCTTTTTCCTTACCTTTAAGCTTTATTTCACTTTATGGTATGCAGCAGGGAGGGGGGACTGATTTATTGAAATTTGTAACAAAAATAATTATAAGAACAATGTAAGCTGGACCAGCAGGAGCAACAGCAGATCCAAAGGCCCTTTTAACCAAAATAGTAGGACTCTCTTCTCCCTGCTGACCTCTATTCTGCAACAGCCTGGCAGCTCAATTTTGTACCAGTTGAAGTATCCAGACTATTTTCAAGGACAACCCCACAGAGCGCAGTGCTCAGAATTTTCCTTGTAAGCAAAACATAACAAAACTGAGGCTGTCATACTTCAGGCAAATCATGATTCACTGGGGCAGATAATCATGCTAAGGAAAGTCAAAGGCAGAAGAGGAATGGGAAGACCAAATATGAGAAGGATTGGCTCCATAAAGGAAGCCACAACCTTGAATTTACAAGATCTGAGCAGGGCTGCCAGGAGAGGTATTTTGGAGGACATTCATTCATTCCATCACCCTAAGCTGGAGACAACCTGGTGGCAAATAACAACACAACAACATTCATTGGCACATTCTTGCTAGGATTTGGACAGATTCAGTCTCTTCTCCTTGGAATAGTTCTATTCGTACTCCTCCTCCTCTGGTTAGATGGGTAGGCTACTCCTTCCAATTGCTTTCAGAGCAGCTTTTACTTCACTTTCTCATATTGCAGGTTTTTTCTCATGGGATCCCCCTTCAAAGGAGTATGTCATCCTTTTGTCTCTTCTGTATAGTTCTTCCATATATTGTTTCCACCTTCTCTTTCTTTTAACTTGGTCAGATACTATGTTCCCCTGTCAGTCTTTCCACATTCCTAAATTTGCTTTGAATTTCCCTGTGATCTCTTGGGTCTTCTGGAACAGGTCTCTTCAGTTGTTCTCGTCTATTTCTTTGCTCTGGCCACTGTAATATTCCTTTTGTCTCTATGTGGAAGTTGAGGAAAAGTTGCACTCAGGATTCTGACCTTATTTCTGTCACCTTTTGCTTCTTGCTGTCTTGAAGATACTGGTGCCCATTTGGCAGCCATTATTGCTTGGCACTATACATCAGTAAACAGAGTTACTGCAGATTGATTTTGTAAGAAATATGCGTTAAAACAAGCAGGAAAGTAATAATGGGGGAAATAAAGTCACTGCTGGGATGGTTTGAAACCAGAACTTTACAATATATATTATAAATAATATAATGGGGAACTTCATCCCCACCCTCAATTTTTGTATTATTTCCAGAGAGTCTCAAATTTGGATCTGGCTCGGCCCTACCCCTGCAAATGCTTCCTTCCCTTCCTGAGCAGAAAAAAATGTTCTTATCATTCAGAAAGGATGACTGAAGCTAAAGAGAAGGGCAATCCTTCTGCCTTCACAAGTTCCAGTTAAAGAGGAGCCAGAATGTCCCCTGGTCTTGAGCATGATGGCATGCTGCTATCTTGAAGGTTTTTGCTGCAGGGGCAGAATACAATTCGCCTATTTGTATAGAATGCATGCGTGCCTGTGTGTGAAGCTTTCCTTAGGGATATTCGGGACATGGGCTCTGTTCTTTCAAATGTTTTCACAGGATCCTTGCATGCAGGGGTGGGGGAGGGAATGGTTTTCAAGGCAAGCCAGAATAACCATCTGATTTCAAACAGGTTGTGAAACCCAATCCTAATTCTTGCGGAAGCTGTAACTTACTTCAATTGCACTGTTATTGGACAATGTACAGACTATGGTAACTGGCTTTTCTTCATTCCACAGGCTGGAAAGGGGCTCATACGGACTATAAAATGCAACAGCACAGCAGTAGCAGATATTGTTCCAGTGGATGTTGTTATCAATATAACCCTTGCAGCTGGCTGGTACACTGCAGTTCACAGGTAGGACTTGACTCTTGTTTCAGCTCTGGCTTAACAGGCTAGTGGTGAGTGTTCAAGGTTTTGCTGCTCTTCCTGAAAGACATTGGCCGAGAATGTTGCAAATCCATAGCATGGAAGGAAATTTCTTATATCAGTCTGAGGCAATGTCTCCCATCCTTCTGATAGCTGATAGGTATTCTTTTCTGAAATAAAATGGGAAGCACAATTCACTGTTATGCTGAAAGCAAGCAAGCAAAATGCTATATAAGAATTTTCAACCCTCAGTAGAGCATCATGTTTCTGTATGTTTCTCAGGTTTTTCTGTAGCCTTTTACTCTGTGCTCACTATGACCCTGATGGGGGAAAACAAGACCACTGTTACAGGACAGTTAGCAAAAAGATCGGCCAGCCTGTGCATATACATGGAAAGAAATACATACAACACTGTTCAGGCCATTGTGGGACTCCGTCTGAGCCATTCACAACTGCCACTTTCAGTGTGCCTCATACTGCTGAATTAGGAACTCTGTCAGAGAGGTCTGCCAACAAGCTGGTTCCTGTTTCTCTAAGGCCAAATGAGCCCATTCAGGTCAGAGCCTGCTGCCACTGAGGGATTCTAGCTTCCAAGTGTGCCTGGAAGACACCTAAATAGCAAGCCCTTCTCTAGACGTGCCAAGGAGACAGGAGCTATCTGGAGAAGCAGCATACTTCCAGTTCTGACTACCAAATGATAGCATTTACCAGAGAATGTCAAGCCAACTCTTTTTTTCCCCGGGCTTGGCTCAGCTTTGTCCTGCCTCAACTTTGCCTGAGCCCCAACAAATTTCAAGGAAACACCCACAGGCTTTATTCCTCTACTGAGGTTGCATTCTCAAAAACTCAAACAGGCTATTATCAGTGACCTTACTGCTACTGCTGAATGAACAGAGAAACTTGCAAACAACCACCTGTTGAGGATTACACAAGTGGAGCCAGCTGGAGGTCAGATCAGATGGCCTGGGAGGCCCCTTCTGACTTGCTTTGTTTCTGTGTTTCTATGCAAAGATGGAGTAAGCTGGTGACTCTTCCCATCCTACCTGAAAGCCAAAAACACCTGACTTCCAAAGGCTGGGCAGGGCAACCCAGAGAAGCTTTTAATGAGTCCTTGAAGGAGGCTCCAATTCAGAACCCTTTCAGGAAGCTGCTCTAGGAAAACTGTGCTTAGAGGGTAGAAGCTGGTAGCTTCATTTAATGGATTCCACAGGAGTTCTCTGTCAGCGATCAAGGAACAGCACGTGCTTAATCAGTTGGATCAGGAACATGGCAAATGGTCAGAATTTAGTTTAATTGAGGAAAAGGAGGCTATTTAATACCAACATTAGTAAGGCAATTTTCTCTTGGGCAACCAGTTCCATAGGTACTTCCCAAATGCCTTCAGGTTTCTGCCTCTTTGTTCCTAAGGGTGGAGAACTTAATTCAGAAAAGGATGTGCACAGCAATACGTTGCATAGAATCCTCCACAAGTTCTTGTGTTCTGTCAAGTCATCTTCGACCTATGAATGAAAGCCCTCCAAAATGTCCTGTCTGTGATAGCTCCATTCAGCTGGGGCTTCCTTTATGGATTCAGTCCATCTAATATTTTGTCTTCCCTTTTGTCTTCTCCCTTCAACGTGATTTTCTTCTCCACTGAGTCTTGCCTTTTCATGATAAGCCCAAAGCATGACAGCCTCAGTTTTGTCACTTTTGCTTCTAGGGAGACCTCTGGCTTGATTTTTATCTAGAACCCACTTGTCTTTCTATCAGACCAGGGTATTTGCAAAGCTCTCCTCCAGCACCATGTTTTAAATGCATCTATTTTCTTTCTGTCACCTTTCTTCACTGTCCAGCTTTCACATCGATACACAGTGATTGGGAGTGCAATGGCTTGGATGTTCTTGACCTTGGTCTCCAATAAAACCTCCTTACATTTAATAATCCTTTCTAGTACCTTCACTACTGCCCTTCCAGGTCTCAGTGTTCTTCAAATTTCTTGGCTGCAGACTCCATTTGAATTGATGACTGATCTGACACATGTGAAATCTTCCCAATTTCAATTTCTTCATTATTAACAGTGAAGTTCAGTAATTCCTCTGTAGACATGCTTTTGTTTTCTTAACATTCAGTTGCCATAATTGTTTCTGTACTTTCTCCTTTCATTTTTATCAGGAGTTTCTTCAAACCATTGAGACTTTCTGGCAGTAGTATGGTATCATGTGCATATCTTAAATTAGTGGTGTTTCTTCCTCCAATTTTCACTCCTACCTCTAAATTTAATCCACTCTGCTTATATGTTCTGTGTACAAACTGAACAGATAAAAAGATAAAATACATTCTTGTCTGATACTTACGGTAAACCATTCTATTTCTCTTTATTCTGTCCTCACAGTAACTTCCTAGCCATCATACAGGTTATGTGTCAGGACCATCAAGTGCTTAGGCACACCCATTTCTTTCAGGACCACCCAGACCTTCTCGTGGTCCACACAGTCAAATGATTTACTGTAGTCCATAAAGCATAGACTGATCTTTTTCTCAGATGTGTTGGCGCTACAGTAGCCAGTGTATATTTGCAACATATTGCGTGCCTCTTCCTTTTCAGAATCCAGGTTCAACATCTGGCATTTCTCACTCCTCAAGTAACCCAAGACTTAATCCCTGAGGCTAAGGTCATACAGGATTCCATACAATTCTCTGCTGGTCCATCACAGCCACTGCTGTCGCCAGATGATCAATGTAGCAAAAGCATTTGAACATGGCCGTTTTCTCCTAGTTTAATCTGTTCTTCAGGGATGTCCACTTTTGGGGAAGTTGTATTTAAGGATATCACATGGAAACACAGTGCCATATCCTTTTCCCAGATGAAGGAAGATAAAAAGAAAATCTCAGGGCTACCTTGCCTTTCTTTTGTACCAGCAGAAGTTTCTTCTGCCTAATGTTCCTGGTCTAGATCTAAATTCCTAAAATCCCAGGTCTTAGCCTTTCCCGTATCTGCTGCCACCGCACAATTCTGCCACTACCAACCCCCTAATAGGAGATGATGCTAAGTCTTCCTCCATGCCTGAGAGAGCTCATTTAGTTTTAAAGACCATCCAACAGAAATATCACACAGATTTCCTTTGAAGTCCAGGAGACAAATCCTTTTAAGACTGGAGAAGCACAAAGAATTCCTTTCAAGGCTGACAGGCAAAACAGGTCTCATCAGGCTTCCTCAAGATGGGAATCAGTGCCTTCTTGTTACTCATCAAAAAGTGATATCCAGAGGCAAATTGTCTCTGAACCTGGAGGAAGCACATTATGAATTTTGACAGACTTTTTCTCTCATTCCATTAGGAGGCCAGCTGAGCTCCTACCAGTCAGAACCATCATGTAGAACATGTGTTGGAGGCTTTGACCATGAGCAGCTGAGTTCCATTGTGTGGGCATCCATGCTGCTGATCCACTCTGCTCCCCTCTTGCATTCTAGCAGCTGGCAGTCTTGACAGGAGAAGCCTTCCATGGAATCTGCCTCTAGACTAGTTAGTCCAGCCTCTTCCTGCCTCCATCCTAGTCTCCAGTCTGCCACACCCATCCTCCCTAACCTCACCTTGCTCTTGAATGTGGCTGTCTTTCTGGAACTTGACCATTGAACTGTGCTCTTGGACTGTGACATCTCGGACTGTGCTTTCTTGGACCTGTTGTCTCCCTGACTTTGACTCTGGATGGTTACACAAACATGTTTCTTGCTACTGGCCCTCTGAACCTGCTGCAGGACTCTTCCTTCCACCTGGGCCTGGAGTTCCAACCATAGTTGCCTGCTGTCCACACTCCGGACCTTACACTTCTGCTTCCCAAATGTGGACTCTGCTAGAGCACAGTAGCACAACTGTACATTCACAAATGAAGAGGGGAAGTGCCATGCTGGGCCTGGGACAGGACCAAAACCTTTTCTTCATCCTCCTCCCCAGAGCCAAGGAGCTCACCACAAGGAACATCAGCACACAGGTTGGAAGGCACCCTGTTTGTCCTCAGTCATGCAACCCAGCAGATAGATCAGATGCATGTAGTGAGTTGCTGAGGTTATTCCAGCCAGAGTCAAAACTACCCACTTTGTTCAGGCATTTCTCACTAGTGACCATGTTGCCATTATAAAAGAAAGGCTATACTTCAGCAAAACCTTGTGATGGAAATTCCACATGAATCTCTCAAAACATCCAGTGCCTGTACAGCCTTGGTAAACAAAGTCCCTCTTGATCATCCACAAAGTTGCATAATGTAACTTTGTTGTACATGCTGTGTAGCATACAGCTGGCACTGCTGATTGTTTAATTATACTCAGCAGTTCCTAAATAGCATGCTGCAAGAAATGTACTAAGAATTAAAGCATCTGTTGAGTCCTGCAGAATGTGCAGCTCACAGCATTATTCATCACTTTAGCTAATCTTTCTCCACAGGGTAGGCAATTCTGCCAGATTTCTGCATTGGGCGTGATTCAATCAATCCTAATACAGAGATACAACAGAGTGGCTTTGTCTCAGATGAGGCTTCTCACCTCATCTCTGCACCAGTTAGTGCTCTGGCTTGCTTCCTTTAAACGGGGCATATACTCAGATCAGATCAGTGATTCAGTGCAGAAACAAAGTGGGTGGCCTCCTTTGAGCATGGATGCTGCTTTCCTAGTAACATAGAAACAGAGTGAGTCAGAAGGGGCCTCCCAGGCCATCTAGTCTGATCCCTGGCTCCAGCCGGCTCCGCTCACGACATGCCCACCATGTGCATGCCCAGCCTATCTTTGAACACCCTCACCGATAGTACTTCTTAAACTCATGCCTTTGAGTGCAAGAATGACATGGTCCTCTGATTTCAATTCAGAAAGGAAGCATTCCTCAGTTTGGAAAATAGTAGAACATTATAAACTAATAATATTGCATTCAGTTTTCTTTCAGCATTTCAACCTGACTTTTCACCTCCTTGCTTATTTTTCAGACCAAAATCAATGTTGATATACAATTGTACAACAGGTGGCTTGAACCCATTTTCCTGGGGAGAGATGGGTAAGTTTTTACTGCAGGGTATACCACTAGGAAATAACCCCAGAATCCAGATATGGTATATTCCACCATTCTGATAATCCTAAAGGCTTGTCTAGTACTCTCGCAGCCCAGGATTCCCCTGCTTCTGTTTTGGGTATTGCAGCCTCAGGAGTATTAGGTACAAGATATATTTAATCATTCCTAAGGAATGAGGTGGCATGTGAGCAATTCCTACTGCTAATATTTCTAACTGTTTTGCAGCCTCTGTCTGTTCTTTGTGCTAGGATTGCAGTTGCTCCAGTACAGAAAGCCTAGTGACTAGTATGTCGTATGCAATAGGCCTGCTTTGCATGTTAAACTTGCAGTGTTTTGGTGCATTGGGGTCCACATCAGTGTCTAAAGATGCCAGGGAAGCCATGCCATTTTTATCCAGCCTCATCTAAAAACTATGAATGATTTGCAAAGCAATTGCTCACTGAATGAAGGAGGTAAAAGCACCCTTGCTGAAAGGGAATAACTGTTGCTTCCCTATCCAGGAATGGGGGCTGGTGTTTGTCCTTTCTGACACCGGGCTGACATCATGAACTACATGGGTACCAGACTGGTCAAGTAGCCACTCCCACCAATAACCATCCCACCCCCATTGCTCAGGTAGAACACTACTAGTCATATTCCCTGTGGATTCAGTCCTTGGAAAATAGATAGAGCAACTAGTAGTTGCCAAGGGTGGCATCAATGAGGAAAGTGATTGTGCTAAGTTCAGTTTTCTTGGACAGATGCTGTTTTTACCAGTACTTCCCCTAGGTAAAATATGGATATAATGGTATAACTACTAATGAGGAAAAAGTAACAGCTGGTTGTTTTGAGTTATTGTAATACTTTCTCTGAATAGAACAACTGTTTCTCTGTGATACAGCTAAAAGTAACAATCTTTCTTTCTTTTTCTTTCTTTCACTCTTTTTTGTTTATTCTTTTGATAAAAATTTTGACTAAAACACTGATGTTTGTACAGCTTGAAAACTGTCTTTTTTATATAAATGTTTAATTCTCAACTGGGCAAGGCAAACAAAACTTAAACATTTCAAACTCAGAAACATTGCAGTTTTCACCAGCTATAGTATATAATGTCACAATTCACTGAATTCAGCTGAAAAGGGTAATTGTATAATCAGACTTGATTGCAAAAGGAAGGTCTCAGTTCAGAAAGGAGAGCACGTTGTTTAAAATCATACCTTAACTATTAAATGAAATTAACATCAAGTTGCTATTTCTAATTTGCATGTTGCTGTCAAAACCTTTCATTATCCCCACAATAAATGACAGTGCTTGGGGACAATGGTGGTTTGTTCCTTCTAGCCCTGGGTAAAAAAAAAAGATGCCCCATCACAGAAACACTGGAAGATGGGTTTTCTCCACAAAGGAGTGGCTGTAGGGAGAAGCCTGAAAGGCCCCCTCAAGTGGCCCAACCCAGCATTGACACCTGTCCCCATCCCAGAAAGGCCTCAGCTCATGTTCAGGGCAAGTTGCCATCGCTAATTGTAGCACACAGGTTTGCCACCACCAAGACCAGTTATGCCCATAGTCTGCAGCTGGGATACAACATTGGCAAACATCTGTCATACAGGTCTATTAACTAGGCAGCCAGAGGTAGAGAAGTTGTGCAACCACCAAAATTGATCTGAAATGTGATAGATATTGCACAAACTTGGAAATACAAAGGAAAACATTCATTCAGAAAAGTTTGTAATGAAAAACAAAAATGTTACAAAGAAGATTTTGATAATATTACTTCTGAAAAGACGATTTGTAGAAAGAATATTACTGTTGATCTGTAGCACAAGGCAAAGGCTGTATTTTATTGTGTTTATTTAATACATTTCTATCCCACCACATTAGCCCATAGGGCTCTCTGAGCAGTTTACGATTATAATAGATAGAACAATTTAAAAGAACAAAACATAGGAACCCAATACTTTCCAGCAACAAAACCAAAAGTAGTTGTACCAGTTGACACCCTTTTCTAGGGTGTTGATTTCACTTTCCTGATACACAACCAGCCATAATGCAATAAAATAAAACAATGTTAAAAATACATCACTCCAAAGTTGAAATGTTATTTTCAACACAGAATTACCACAGGACAGACTGGGCTGCCCACAAATTCTGCCTCCCTGCACATTCCACTATTTTGGAATTTGTCACAAAAATCATACATTCATATGAAACTATACTGAGGTGAATTCAAGGAGGCTTAAATGGTTCCCACATACATTTCTTTGGTTCCTCTACCACCTCTAAACAAGCAGGTTTTCAGTCTTTCTTCAGCAATACAAACATCTTCCCAAACTCTTTCTTTAAAATAGAATGTATACACTTGCAAGCAGGTGTTTCTGTTTCTTTCTTCACTTACTTGCATTAGTTAGTTGTACTGCTACTGTCATCCTGAAACATTTTCTCTCTCTCTCTCTCTCACACACACACACATATCATAATACAATATGATATATAAATAAAGCCTTTGATTGTGTGGATCACAACAAATTGTGGCAAGTTCTTAAAGAGATGGGAGTACCAGACCATCTTATTTGTCTCTTGAGAAACCTATATGCTGGTCAAGAAGCAACAGTGAGAACTGGACACAGAACCACTGATTGATTCAAAATTGAGAAAGGAGTTCAGGAAGGCTGTATACTGTATCCCTGCCTATTTAACTTATATGCAGAGCACATCATGAGAAAGGTGGGTCTAGATGAATCACCAGTTGGAATTAAGATTGCTGGGAGAAATATCAACAACCTCAGATATGCAGATGATACCACTCTAATGGCAGAAAGTGAAGAGGAACTAAAGAGCCTCCTGATGTGGGTGAAGGAGGAGAGTGCAAAAGTTGGCTTGAAACTTAACATTAAGAAAACTAAGATCATGGTAGCCGGTCCTCTCACTTCCTGGCAAATAGATGGGGAAGAAATGGAGGTAGTGACAGATTTCATTTTCCTGGGCTCCAAGATCACCACAGACGGGGACTGCAACCAAGAAATTAAAAGACGCTTGCTCCTGAGGAGGAAAGCTATGGCAAATCTAGACAGCATACTAAAAAGCAGAGCATCACCCTGCCAACAAAAGTGCATATAGTCAAGGCTATGGTTTTCCCAGTTGCAATGTATGGCTGTGAAAGCTGGACCATAAGGAAGGCTAAGCGCTGAAGGACTGAGGCCTTTGAATTGTGGTGCTGAAGGAGACCCCTGTGAGTCCCCTGGACCACAAGGCGATCAAACTGGTCAGTCCTAGAGGACATCAACCCTGACTGCTCTTTAGAAGGCCAGATACTGAAGATGAAACTCAAATACTTTGGCCACCGAATGAGAAGGAAGGACTCCCTGGAGAAGAGCCTAATGCTGGGATCAATAGATGGCAAAAGAAGAAGGGGATGGCAGAGAATGAGGTGGCTAGATGGAGTCACTGAAGCAGTTGGTGTGAGCTTAAGTGGACCCTGGGGGATGGTGAAAGACAGGAAGGCCTGGAGGAATGTTGTCCATGGGGTCGCGATGTGTCGGAAACGACTTTGCAACTAACAACAACAAATACAATATGTATTACACACAGCAGCAGATTGAAATGTTCCTTCTCTATATCACCTAAATACAACATATTTTTATTTTTATTTTTTGATTTATAGCCTGCCTTTTTCCTACAAAGGGCTCAAGGCAGCTTACATCATTCTCCTCCTCCATCTTATCCCCACAACAACAACCCTGTGAGGTAGGTTGGGCTGAGAGTCTGTGACTGGCCCAAGTTCACCCAGTTGGCTCCATGGCTGAGCAGGGACTGGAACCCAGATTGTCTGAATCCCAGTCCCATGCTCTTAACCACTACACCACATATATAATCCTTTTTTCTTTATTTATCCATACATTTTGTATATAAGTAAGGACAGGGTCCTATGGCCACTCAACGCTAGCCTGGGTGACCATAGAAAAAGAGTCACAACTCCACTCTGAGAAAGAAGCTTCAAGGTGCCAAAGCCCTCCTCTCCATGCTCACAGTTGCCATGATGGGTCTTTCCACATGGGCTATGGCCCCAAGATCAGAAGACCTGGCCCTGTTTATTACTTTAAAATAAGTGCACCCTATCTAGATATTTCCCTTAGAGTGCCACAATTTGGAAACATGTATTAAGAAAATGTAATTTCATTAGCGTACTCTAGTTGTAAACTAAGCACATTTTCCTACCCTGTCTTAGAAGATGGGCTAAAACATAGAAACATAGAAACAGAGCTAGTCAGAAGGGGCCTCCCGGGCCATCTAGCCTGACCTCCGGCACCAGCCGGCTCTGCTCACGACATGCCCACCATGTGCACGTCCAGCCTATCCTTGAACACCCGCACCAATGGGGCCTCAACTACATCCCATGGAAGCCGATTCCATACCCTCAGGGTCCTAACTGTCAGGAAGTACTTCCGGGCATCTAAATGGAACCTTGGTTCCCTGAGCTTCATTCTGTTGGAGCATGTTCTGCCTTCCTCTGCAGGGGAGAACAGGTCTCTACCCATCTCCATGTGACATCCCCTCACACACCTGTATGTCACCAACATATCCCCTCTGAGTCTCCTCCAGGCTGAAGAGACCCAGTTCCCCCAGTCTCGCCTCATACCCCATCCCCTGCAAACCAGGCACCAAACTTGTGGTGCACTGACTCTAACATGGCTATAGCCTTCCTGTAACGAGGGGCCCAAAACTGAGCGCAGTACTCCAGTTGC